GAGCAGGCAAAACAGCAAGCTACTTTATATTCAGTGTATCTTGAATACTGACACACTAAAAAATGAACAGAAAAGTTAGAGATAAAATACAAGATTTTTTAATTTGATTCTTGTTGATAATGTTTTTGAAATGTTCCATTCATGAAGGAATCTTTCACAGCTAGTATACAATATGACATCTAGTGCAGTGGTGATTTTTGCAGTCTAAGATAATTACCATCCCCATATCCCCCAAAGTCTGTTTATGTGCTACTAAGCCACTTTTAGCTGTCAAAACCACAGATACATTTTAATTTATTCATGTATTCACTGGTTTTTACAAGCATAAACTGTTATTTCTGTTGTATTTTACCAAATGTTCCTGCATGGTTTTTTCTTTGATGTTTTAAGGTCCCTTTCACCCACCCACACTTCCTTTGATACTCACTGACATCAGCAGCTGGTTGCAGAGATACAGAGAAAAAAAACTGCAAATCTGTATGAAATAGTACATTTTTGAACATTTCCACATAAAAGTGCATTATAGGTTTAATTTAGTCTAGGTTTGTATTGCAAGATCACTGGTTGAAGCCTCACAATGTAATTCGACTGTGCATAAGAATGTATGCACAGATTTGCACTGACATGTTTTTGAGCCGTAAAGGAATAGTTCAAATGTTTGAGAAGACTGATACCTCTCTTCTGTATGTAGGGTAAATATGAAACTACAGCCACAAGCAGGTTAGCTTAGCTTAGCATAAAGACTAGAAACAGGGGGAACCAGTTCAGTCCAAAGGTAACAAAACCCAGATATATCTCTATATATATATATCTTGTTTAATCTAAAAAATTAAACAAATGAGATATAACATGTTACTTAGTCAAATTTAGAAGTGCTGGTAGGCAGATTTTCTTGCTTTTGTACAGAGCCAGGAACTGTTTCCCTTGTTTCCAGTGGCCTATTTCTGCTACACTATGCTAACTGACTGCTAGATTCATATTTGTGTGGTACAGTATCAATCTTTTCATCTAACTCTTGATAAGAAAGCAAATACGTGTATTTTCCAAAATGTGAAACTATTCCTTTAAGCACTTAACCCACATGTACACCAGTGTGTGCATGTGAAACACGAATTGCTGAATAAAATCAATGTGTTTATTAAAATAGAAGCAAAGCTTTTTTTTATCCTGAAAACATTTTCCTTAATTGCCTGTTCAATGTTTATTTTCAACATCTAATTCTCCCAAATGTGTGTCAAAGTTTTGTGGTGTTTGGCACTCATTTCATGCCGTCTTACAAAGTTGCTGCTTAATGATTGAATCAAAAGATTACTCAGTCTTACACATCACTAACCAGAAAAAAACAGAGGCTTCACAAACTATAGCAAGCTGTAAAGACATGTTGAATTACTGAGTGACTCAGCACATGTTGGCAGGGGTGCAGATGGGATTTTTGAACTGCTGGGCAATTTCTTGTCTGTCCACTTTGTCAAGCCTCTCTTGGTGAATATGGCACACAGCAATGCCATTGAGTCTTTTTTGAGTCATGGTTGATCGCAACCATGTTTTCAATCTGCGTAACCCACTAAAACTGCGCTCTGCCTCAGCAGATGATATGGGCACCACCATCAACAATCTCACTAGTGTCTCTACCTGATCAAACAGGCCACGGACTTCAGGGGGCATTTCTTTCAAAGCATGCACAGCATCTGCAGTTGTGTTGACCTCGAACTTGTTTTTAAACATGGCCAGTTGGACTCTCAAGTCTTCCTCTTTCAGTTCAGGATATTTGCGAACTGCTGCATCATTTGTAATGGGAGTAAGGAGTGAGTTTTCCAGTTCTTTTAATGTTTGAATGCCTGGTTGCATAAACCTCTCAGTAATTTGTGCATCTACTGTGTCTAGGACACGGTAGAACTCTGCTCTGTAAAAATCCACAGCTGATCCAGGTGTGTATGCAGGAGCCTGCCCAGAATATCTTTTAGGGGGCCTATGTGTGCGGGGTGGAACAATGGGATCTAGAGACAGATTGCCACACCTGTCCTCTGCCTCCTTAAAGACTGCCTCAAAGTGTTCTGTGTTTCTTTTGGATTTCAAGCTGTCTTGGACCAAGGAGACTGCAGAGGGCATGCCCTCCATTGTCTGAGTCTTTTTCTGGAGAGATGTGTTTAGAACCTCTAGTTCACTGATCACATCTAAAGCAAGCAGAAGTCCCAGTACAACATTACCCTGTTGCAGTCGAACACATAAGCCCTCTGCCCTGCTTGCAGACTCAGAATGACTTGCAGCCATCTCCTCTAGTGCACTTGTGGGACATAAAGGCCTGATGGACAGGGCTGGCCCTTCCCCTTCAGCTGCAACAATGGCTTTAAACTTGTCTTTCAACTTACCAGACCGCCCAAAAAATGTGCCAAGGTCATGTATCCAGTCAAGTGCATTTCGCACAACACACGAGGCTGAGCAAGCTTGTTGTGTAACTAAATTGACACAGTGTGCTCCACAGTGTATATATGGTGCTAGTGGCTGTACTCGCTGAATAACAGCCTGTGCACCTGAGTACTTTCCAGCCATATTCGAAGCTCTATCATATGCCTGACCTCTGAGGCCCGATATTGGCAAATTCAGCCTCAACAGAACGTCCGAAATGATCCTGGCAAGGTTTTCACCTGTTGTAGAAGTTGCTTCATACAACCCTATTAAGTCTTCGTGCACCAGCAAATCAGTGTCAGCATAACGTAGGCACATCGCCTCCTGCTCAACACCAGAGACATCCCTTGTCCCAGCCATAATAATGGAATACTGCAACACTGGTAAGGACCGGATCTCTTCTGCAATTTTCCTGATAATTGATGAACTCATCAAATTTATCCGCTCATTTTGACAATCCCAAGATGTGTGCACCCCCCTCTTTGCAGATAACCAACTACTGAATGACTGATCATCTACAGCTTTGTATTTCAGAAGCTGGTCAAGGTTACCTTGATGATGTCCATGCCCTCTAAAGGCCAATCCCTGCCGCGCCAGAAACATCTCACCCCCTATTATTTTTAACAGGCTAGTTCTGTTTTCTGCCTGCTGTGTACTGACTGCACTGCTCAACTGTGTAGTAACTGGCCTGTTTTCATATGCAGCAGTTGTAACAGCCAGTTTGTGACCCTCTGATTTCTCATGCATGGAACATTTTTCAAGTGCTTTTTTCCAGTTTTTAAATCCAGCATTGACAAAGGCTGGATCTACACTCTTGGCTTGTGCTGGTTTCCCTGTCTTGAAGTATTTAGAGCAGTGAAAACACAGAACACCATCAGTACCCATACTAACATGAAGCCAGGGATACTTCTCATACCATGCTTTTTGGAATGTCAGTCTTTGAGCACTTGTTTTTGCAAAACTTTAGGGTCAGGTTGATTTGGCTTTGTATATGTCATTATCATGTCAACTTCCTTTCCATCTGTGTCGCCTCCTGTCCCTCCTTGTTCTGTCCCTGCTTCTTCTGTCTGTATTCCTTCTTTCTCTCCTTCCTCATGCAGTCGCACACACAAAAAAAGGCACCAAAACGGCGGCTCGGCCGGGACATTAGTGGTACGACTTTTCTAAACGTTTCGCCAAACAGTTTGCCGATAAATCTCCAAAAACCGGTCCATAAAAATGAATGGGTGTGTGTTGGTAGAATGTTCACAGCTAGAGTGTGTGACTTTATCACTAGAGTGGAGAGTGAGAGAAACATTTGTCGAAAAATAAATTTGTAAATTGCTCTCAAGGCCACAAATGTAACTCTACAGAAATAATTTATAGATAGAAACGTAGGTAAATCCGTTGGGGTCGCAGTGATACCACTGCTGAAGCTGTCAGACAAATAGTTTTGGCAGGAAATGCACTGATGCGCCAGCAACACCCTCTCATGGCCCCATCTACTCCCATGTTAATTGGAAATTAGAAATTCTGAAAGGAGCTCGCTGAACCTCTTCTTCCTCAATCTCCTGAGGTCACATTTTTTAACTTTAGCCACTGAAACTCAGCAGTCCTATGGTCAACAAAATGACGATGCTGGCGGTCTTTTCGATTTTCATTTCGGTTGTTTTTTGGTCATTCCTGGCCAATGGTTCGAGGGGATTCATTTTGAGATTTTCTGTGTCTCTCAGGAGTCAGAGAGAAAGCCTGCAGCTGCTGTGGCCTCCCCTGGTTGCCACGACAACCAAAGCCTGCCTCTCATTAGTAAGCTAGCGCTAGCTTGCTACAGAGAATGACAAGGTATTAATATTGGGCCAGAGCCAGGCACACTCAAAGTTTCTTTAGGAATTTTCTAGTTAAAATAACATTATACATGAAAAGTAAAAAACATTAAAGCTATTCACCTACGACCTAAAAAGACTTTTATTTTACATTAAATGTAAAATAAAAGTTTTAACTACATTTTAGTCTACTTAAGGTAAATGCTGTTTATTATTGTCAGACTAGCTACTCAATATTACAAAACGATAAGCTGCCACATCTGGGAAGGTCAACAGACAACAGGTGTAGGATAGTCTACTTACATTGTTTGTTTTCTGAAAAAACGCTCTGATCGTTTTTTGTTTCTTCATTTTGTTTCTTCATTGAATTGAAATCACCCGCTCTGTCATAGTAGACAATGGTCTGATCACCGCGACAGGCACAGGCGCAGCTACCAGTTCCTCTTTAGGACCCTGGGGAGTGAGAGTTGTGCCTTATGGTGTGTTCAATTTATACTGAAAGTCGGAACTTGGAGCTCGGAACAACGTAACCCCAAAGTTGAGTACTCCCAGCGCTTCCCAGCCTCACAAACGTACAACAAAACATGTAACTATTGTTTACGCGAGTAGCAGATAGCATGAATTCTATGTCTGGCTGGTGAGATTAATCTGACTTTCCGAGTTGGAGATCCGACTTCACGGGGGGGTTCTGATTAAAATTCTGACTTGGAGCTCGGAAATTCCGACATTCGTGCACAACTGGAACGCACCATTCATCGTAGCACACAAACGCCGGTCTCTCAATGCGCGCTGCAATGTAAATTAGTCTAACTAACGGAACATTTATCCTCCGTTTTACCGGCGATGTTTGTCGCCTTATGTAGGGACAGTGGGGGGGTCACTATGAATCTGGGGGGGTCATATCCCCCCCGTCCCTAGTGCCATCTGCGCGCATGCATGTTGGTGACCTTTCACCCTCCCTGCTGTTTGTTTAAGTTTTTGGTTTTTCTCCTCCAGAATGGGAAACACGACGAGGCGTGGATGATTCTGAAGCAGGTCCATGACACCAACATGAGGGCGAAGGGCTACCCAGAGAGGGTCTTCTCTGTAAGTCACACCCAGTAATTGTATTGTCACTATTGTCTGTATGCAGGAAGAAATGTCTTCACACAGCGCTTGTGTGTCTGTCTGGAGACTAGTGCAGTGCAGCAGGTTTTGAGCTCTCGGATGCAGACATTTGCATATTAATAAGTTAAAACAGGTTTTCTTTAAACTACTGTAATCTCTTAATGCTTCGATCCACACAGTTCATATTAATAGTTAAATGAAATATGGTGATATAAATACTTTATATCCTCTTATTACTGCATTAATTAGTACAATGAATTAGCATAACTGGTGGATGTTTGATATCTAGTGTAAATGGTGAGCCATTACGCAGATCAGATGACTCTCATATCATTTTCATTGTTTTAAGGGTTGTGTACCCACATGGGAGAGATATATTTTGTTTTACAGATTTACAGACATGTATACATTACTTAGAATAATACGGAATACTAATATAGAGAGAACATTTGCTGATTATCTGTAATATTTGAGTGTGTTTACAGACGAAGAAGCAATGGAAAATCCTATAATGAATTAATTATAATTTTTGCATGTTTGATATCACATAAAAGCATGTTTTATTCTTTCACACACACAAAGCCACGTTTAATTGTTTCAATAGCCTGTGTGCAAAATTGGGTTGATATCAATAAATATTATGAAAAACAAGTTTTGAAACAAGTGCTATGAAGAAACGCAATTAACAATTATTAAACACAGCAATTAAATCAAAATACTGAATAGTTGTGCTGTTGTCTCCAGGTGACTACTATCAAAACCGTGTAGCAAATGGATGAACTGGTGGACCTGGGCGACTGTGGCGTCTGGCATCAGAAATGGAGAATAAAGCTCTCTACACTTTTCCATCAGGTGATAAACCCTGCAGTTTGTTCTTCTACTTCACTGTTTCTTATTTAGGAATATCAACTGTACATTGAATCACACTGAGGACACATCAGGACTAGAATTCTGGATGAGAGTGGTGTCAATCTTCTCATCTAACTCTTGTTTTATTGTAAGGAAAATTCAAAGCATCACAGATAGATATTATAATCAAGGGAATTAGGAAAACCAAATTCAGTAAGAAACTCAAAAATTTGTAAGACTTTGCTCTGCTCAAGCTTTATTTATTTGCAAATTCTCTTTGTCTTTGTGGACGGTGTGTATTTAGTGACAGGACTTGTTTGTCTCACGGCTTGTGCTGCTGAAGATGTCTCAGTTTGTTTACTCTATGCCTGGAAAGGGACTGTGGGACCTGTGTTTTTTTCTTGTATGATAGAACGAAACCTGTTTTCTGAGACGTCTGGTGTCAACTGTTTATCTGATTGGACTATTTATAATTTCTCTCTTTGTCCATGCATGTGTTCCATTAGGTGTGGAGTAATTTCCTGACTACTTTCTCCCCTGAGTACCGCCGCACCACCTACATGATGATGGCCGTGTGGTTCTCTGTCCTTCAGGTAAGATCAGGTTAAAGAACGGTCCACCACTACAGTTTTTTCTGGGTCTCATTGAGACTTAAAGCACACACTACCAGTTACTCAACCAATCAGGGACATCCATTTACTTCATCAGCCTAAAAGAGCTGGGTAATGTTGATCACAGCAGTATTGTGTTGTTGTTTGTTGGCTTAACAGCTTGCTGTTAGGTAGCCGAGGGTGCTCTGAATGCAGAGGAAGCACATTATCTCTTGCCCAAATGACATGGCCAGGCTGCACATTTCAGCTTCACATTTCCAGATGAGTAATTACTCCAAACTGCTTTCATCAAATTCTGTTTATAAAAACGGAAACTCAAAGTAATGAGGCCAGTGAGCGAATAGTACATCTTTTATCTGATACACAAGATTATCTCTCTCTGTAGGTCAGAAGAAATACTGGTAAGTAAACAAAAGAGAAACAGAAGCACAAACAATTAAAATAGGAGCCTTAGAAAGACTTACAGTGGGTTAAAGAAGTTTTTAAGATTCTAAAGCAGCAACAAGGAACTTTCATTTTGTGTTGATTCTGTGGCCCCAGTGAACAAAATCGCCCCTATTCATTGATTTCAAAGGGAATCGAACCAGAGTGACAATGATCTTGAATTTCTAGGTTGCCAATATATAGAAGACGAGCAATAAGGCATAGAGCGTGAGTGGTTCCCTGACATGATCAAGTGGCGGCTGTGGCTCCTTAATCGGAAGGTTGTGGGTTCGATCCCCGGCTCCTGGTGCGACATGTCGAAGTATCCTTGAGCAAGATACTGAACCCCAAATTGCTCCAGAGAGTGTGAATGTGTATGAATGTTAGTTGTTGTTCAATGGACCTTGCCATCACTGAGTGAATGTGTGTGAAAAGGTGAATGTCTCACGTAGTGTAAAAGCACTTTGAGTGGTCGGAAGACTAGAAACGTGCTATACAAGTACAGGTGCATTTACCATTTAACTTCACCCTGGAAAACCAGGTCCACTTCAATGACAAGTGAGTCAGCTGCATCCTCTTGTTAGTGTCACCTGTCATATGAGGGCATTTTGAATTTCTGTTGGTTTTATGATAGTCAGGTTCCTTTTATTCCATGGATATTTCACAATTTTTAAATTTTACGCATCTCCAATACTTGATAAATGTATTCATAATTTATTCTGTCTATATAGTCTGTGGTGGATGACAATAAAACAGATGAAAAAATAAATGAGGTTTCAACAAATGTTTTATTCTGAGCACTGCTTTAATTGGATTAAAGCCCTGCAGAGTTGTTCATGTTTAACAAGCCTGTCTTTGATGTTTCCTTTGACCTTGCCTTTTCAACCTGAACTCTGCATCTGATTTGAGTTGTTCAAACAGTAATATGGTAATAGAATATCTGACTTTTCCTCTCTGTCTCTCTCTATCTCTTTGCATCTTCCTTTTGTTTCCCTCTGTTCCCCACTTCCATGTTCCATCTATTCATCATCTCTTTGCCTCCATTACTTGATTCCATCATCCCTGTCTGCAATTACCTGCAGGTTTATGAACCTGAAATTGAGATCTATGGTGTTTGAGGATTCGCTGTTTGAGGAGTGTTACTTTGAGGACATTACATGAGTGAACAACATTAGGGTAACCAACACATTATAATTAAATTGTTACAGCTCAAGCAAGGACAAAAAGAAGAGCACAACCATGAGTTGCAACTAAAAATGTTATTTCTACCTAACACATGAGACACAAATTTGGCCATGGCTGTATGACATCAACTTTCAGCTTTGCAGCAGAAACATCAATAGTGTCTGCGATGTATGACTGAGCTAAACAAACAGAGGAGGACAGAAGACTGGCTGCATGTCTCCTCTCCAGGGAGAGGTCATGAAGTTAGGGAATCCTGTCCACAGATATTTTCAGAAAACACTCTTTGAGGTTGATTTCTTTGACTTGAAATTTTAGTCATCCCTTAAGAAAATGATTAAACTAACTTTTGAAAATCAAAATGTGGAGTAGGTTGTGCATTGAACCTGTGCTAATAAACAAGCATACACTATAAATGTCATCTTGTCTTTCCCTTCTCTCTCTCTCTGTCCTTATTCTGTCTGCTATTTATAGTGCTTTAAAGGAGCTCCTTATACATAACTTTCTTTTAAGAAGAGATATTGGCACAGTTTCACTCGTTTGCAATCTTGTTAAGGGATTGTGTGACTTCAGTATCCTGATGGATGGAAGATGGTGTAATCACTTCCATTAGGACATAGTTACCAGTGTATAGTATATAGCTCTGGGGATCTTTTTGCATCTCAGTTTTAGTGGGCAATATTTTCCGCCGTTCCTTCTCCTGATGTATAAAAGAGCAGCGAAGTCAGCTCCAACTGTTTGTGAAAATGGCTCAATTACTTTCTTTTCCCCTCTCCACTGACTCCACTGACTGACTGGCACTACACCGAGTACAGCATAGCAGAAGAACTGCAATGTCTCCTAGCAACCCAGACCGAATCCTTCATCATTTCAGCTTTTAAAATTGCGGAGCTGCCTCTCATCCCAAACTATATGATTGATTTGTCTCTTCCGAAATTACACAAAAGATGTCACATGTAGAAAGCCGATGGGAACTGTATCTTTGTAGATTTTTAGAAAAGGGATACCGTCCAGTATAGATTCAGCAGCTGTGTCCACATATACTAACTAGGGCTGGGCGATATATCGATATAAAAAATATATCGATATATTTTAAAATGTGATATGGAATTAGACCATATCGCCTATATCGATATAGTTCAAATTTGCGCTGTGATCCTTGCTCCAAGCAAGCTGCTGACCCGGAGCTCTCTGCACTGCTCCCCCTGCCCCCGCCCCTCCTCTTTCAATAACCTAACGTAATGTTTGTGTTCATATCCATAATTTAGACTGTAACGTTGTCAGACTGTTAGGTTAGCTGCTGAGTAATTGTCTCATTCCGCATACTTCCGTCAGTACAATGCTAATGTGCACTGACCACTTACTGCCGTAGTGCCCACTTTCGATGGTTAGTATTGTCCCAAAAGGAACACTTATGTTAATCCTCTATGGCATGGTGTTGCCCTCAGGCAACAAACCACTATTTTGCCCCCCCTTGTAGACTATTGTCGCAAATTCGGGTCAAACCGCTTCTGGTCTTGATGTAGCCAAGGTGGCATATGTATCCCACTAATGCCTGTCGATGCATATCCCACACATACCAAGGATTGTATTGGAATCACTTTGTCGCCATCTAGTGGTCGAATGTGAACTACATCCGGTTGATGAAACAGGAAGTGTCGGCTCGGCAGAGCACATGAATTTTTGGCAGTTAAATTCAGAAAATTTTCCAAATTTGAGGTAAGTTGTGCTAAAATAAAAATACATACCAGCGTATTGGTTGCTTCTACTGCTGATATATTGGAATAGACTACATGTGACAAAAATTGTGGAAGTTATTTGCAAATTTAGGTTTGTCGCATTTTTGCTACATTAGGCATTATAGCTAATGTAGCTAATGGATGCTAATGAATATTGAATTTAGTAGAAATTCTTTTTCCTGCGCATATATTTCAAATGGTTTGATAAATTGAGCTCCTAATTAACTTCTATAATTATTGTAAGATTCAAGATTCAAAGTGTTTATTGTCATTGACAGTAAGGAAAACATGTTTCCCTGTACAATCAAATTCTTTATTTGCTGTCCACAATGAATGTCGAGTACAAGTAGCAGTATAAAAGGTATAAACTAGATAAATAATAAGTAACAGCACTATGTAAAAATATAATGTAAAATATAACTATGCAGAAATAGAAATATAGACTATGTACAACTGTATGTGCAGAGTAAGTGTGCAACATTGAATTATGTCCAAAATTATTAATTATTATTAAATTATTGTAAGGGCCAGAATGTATTAAAATGTTCAAAGTGCAATGTTCACCTGTGCTATGTTGTTAAACTATGTTGTTATTCAATGTCAAAGCCTTGTTGCAGCATTAGCAGCATCAATAAAATAATCTACATACCTGAGACTGGAAATTTGTTTACTTAATATTATGCCCAATTATGCCTAATGTCGCTAATTTGCATCATAGCTAAATTTATATCTATTGTATGTGCTATATTCAAATTAACAATCTCCACTTAATTTAGCATCTGCTTGAATGCAAAAACACACAAAAAATTTTTTTTTATATAACTGTAAATTAAATTTGGCAATAAGGGGTTAAATTTTAACAAATAAAAAAAAAAAAAAAATCAAATTAAAAGCTTGATGATAAGTCTGTGACCAATGAATAACATGCTCATGGATGGAGATGTGCAGGGATGCATATCGTTATCACCATAATCAATTTTTTTGCTTTACTATCTACTATTACTCACAGGAAATGTATGCACAAACATTTTATGGGTGTAAGGAAGTTGATCGAGCAGTTAGGCTTATTCCTTCTGACAGTGAGGACAGTGAGCTTGAGGAGAGTGAAAGTGAGGAAGAGTGGACCCAAGAATCAGGTTTGAGGGAGAATAAGGAGATCAGAATTCAGTCAGTAGAGTAACATACTGTATGTAATGCGTGCGTGTGTGAGTGGGTGAAGAGAGGTATATGACCTATTCTAATTTTAATCTTCCCTTTTGGAACAGGTGGCCTATCTGATGACAATGAATCTGTGGATGAAGAGGAAAATGAAGTTGATGATGATGCATCAGAGGAAGATGTTCCCCACTTACCCCGGTGGAGAACACCCCACAGTGCCAACATCACTGATTACCCAGAATGTCATTCTTCCTGATTAGTACATGTCTCACTATTGGTCTTTATTTTAGGCAGAGACGGTTTCTTTGTAAATAATTCTGCAATGACCACTGTCCACACTCTGCCAATCACCTCCCAGGCTTGACTATACGCCAACATGCCAATTTTAGCTCTTAGTCTAGTTGTGGTTCCTTGGGCCATCAGAACTGCTGGTCGCGTCATTTCCCCCAGTTCACCCAGTGGTAACCCAGAACCAGTGCTACTTGAGTCACCTGTAGAGGTAGACCTAGCACCACTGGCAGAGACAAATTTAAATGAAGCAGAGGAAGAGCAGAATAGCACCTCTTCAGGCATTCGCTTTTTTATTCACGGGAGTCATTCTGGCGGTGAGAGAGTTCAGCCTTCTCCTGTCTCAAACCCAGTAGTTGACCGAGAGACATCACAGCCTGCTGGCAGAGAGTCAGATGGAATTTTGGCATCTGTTAATTCCAGGACCAGAGCACAAATTTTAGCAGGAATCGCCACGCTCAGAGAAATGGGGTTCGCTAACATTGTGTTGTCCACGGCTCAAGAAATAACGGCTACTTTCTTCACCCAGGATGGGGCAAATTTTAAAACTTTTTTCACTTATATCTGAGAAACAATTACTGCTGTTCTTCCCGGAATCAAAGTAAGAACCACAGTGAATATTTCCCCACTAAGAGTTGACATTAGGATATTCCATGTTGAGCCTTCTCCTCTCCCAAACTCAGTAGTTGTTCCAGAGACATCACAGCCTGCTGGCACAGAGGTAGATGGAATATTGGCAACTGCTTATGAGTCACCTGTAGAGGTAGACCTAGCACCACTGGCAGAGACAAATTTAAATGAAGCAGAGGAAGAGCAGAATAGCACCTCTTCAGGCATTCGCTCTTTAATTCACAGGAGTCATTCTGGCGGTGAGAGAGTTCAGCCTTCTCCTGTCTCAAACCCAGTAGTTGACCGAGAGACATCACAGCCTGCTGGCACAGAGTCAGATGGAATTTTGGCATCTGTTAATTCCAGGACCAGAGCACAAATTTTAGCAGGAATTGTCGCGCTCAGAGAAATGGGGTTCGCTAACATTGTGTTGTCCCTAGCTCGAGATATAATTATTATTTCTTTCACGGTGGCTAAAGGAAGAATCGCTGATTTTCCTCAATTGTAGAAGGAGCCATGGCTGTTTTCAGCCTGGCTAAGGCAAGTTTTTCAACTTTTTTGACTATGGCCCAAGCAGGTATTGCTGCTGTTTTTTCTGAAATAGTCTACTTACCCTTACCTGCTCAGTGTAGATACACAGACGCGTCACACATCTAGACCAATCACGCGGCTTGAACAGAAAAAATGCCGCCTGATGCGGCTCCCAATCAGGAGCCGGCTCCCGTCGTTCACTTCAAAGAGCCGGATCGTTGGTGAATGACCCATCACTACTAGTGAGCACACGAACAGGTGGGAGGGAGATGTGAGAGAGTGAGAGAACTTGGCGCTACATAGACAGAAACATCTAAAAATAAAATTCAAAT